GCTCTGCAGCTACGGTTACACAACTTCAGAATGCTTCTTGGTTAAAACTATAATAGATAGCACAGAGGCATAATGAGATCTTATTTCTCCAACATTCAAACCACTGAGATTAATTAAACAAAACTGTATGACTTATAATCATATTTATCAGATCCTGAGATTCAGTAAATGAAAAAACAGTTAAATTATATTCAAAAATAATTTGGAGGTTGTTGCGCATTTCATTTTTTATACTTTTTTTTGAAAATTAATAAGCATTTACAGAAATTCATGGTTAAACAGAACATCTCAGAAATCAAAACACATTTCTGGCCATTCTTGACAAGAACTTGTAAGCAAAATAACTTTTATTAGTAACTCTTAGGTATCAATGTGAGCAATTTTTACATGGCTAATTACTCTCATAAAGTAAAACATATTAACAAAGAACTGGATGGGGATCCTAGAACTTTAACAATGGAAGCCCATGTAATAAAATGAACCCAGGGAATCTCGAACTGAGTCCCTGAATTAGCACGACTGGCCTGGAAGTTTTACTGAGTACTTTTGAAATTTCTGAGAAAATCTGAAGTTCTGTGGATCTCTCTGAACCCACAGATGCTGTTAAAATCTGGCCTGTGATATTATGTATCTAAAATTAATGATTTCTCAAAATTCTAACAAACTATATTATTGCTTCCTTCTATTCAAAATATTGTGGTAGAGGGTCCTAGGATACATATTAACTGTATCACTTTCAAGCTCATAACCTCTTTTTTCTCTCAAATTGTTCCTTACATAGGATATAGAGTTGTGAGTTGAGGGAAGAAGCGACACAGTGTCAAAACAGACTGCCCATTTGAAAATCTGTACTGGACCTTCTGGTCAGTGCACTACAGGAGAGAGTGCCCAGGGTTGGAAATCAAGAGAGCCCATAACTGCTTCTGCTTCCACTCATATCTTGTTGTGTGACTGGGTAAAAGCCGTGTCATTTCACCAAAAACATTTAGTATTTTTATCAATACTAAATCTTCATTTGCTCATCTGTAAAATCAGGGGACTATATTATAAGATCTTCTAGTCTATCCAAATCTAACGATCTATAGTTGGAATCTAAAACTGTATTTTACAGTTCTACTTTGTTGAGAGTCAAAGACAATGTCTTTGACTTATCTAAAGATAATGGAGCTAGACTGTAGTGCTACTTTCATATTATATTTATTTTATATTTTCTAGAAAATTCATTTTATCTTATGCTTAGTCAAGAAATCATTGTTCAAAACATGATCTAGGTTTTGTAAATAATTTCTCTTAAATGTACTAATTGGTGTTAAAATTACTGCCACTTGCTTATGTGCCAAATGTCATGAGTTAGGTGATTTTATAAACACACTTATCTGCAGTGGTTGATGCAATTCCCACAAACTGGGGGAATGATACTTTCTATAAGGATATTCTAATGTTTTATTTTTTCATTCTTGTCAAGTTTAGTATTTCCATTTGAGTAATGCACTAGACTTGCTGTAAAAATAAGCTATATATTTACAAATATAAAAATGAATAGCCATCATTTCTGATAACGAGATTGAGAAATATGATTATCTACTTATGCCACTCAGCAAAGAACCAATCATCTTATTAGAAATAGAAAAAAAATAAGGATATATAAATTTAGATTATGAAGCAGTGTGCATGAATGAAAACATGTACAAGCAAGAATCCACATTTAACATCCACACAAACAGAACTTATCTAAGCAATGAATTGTCACACCCTGAGTTTACACCTCATGTTCCTTATTGAGGACAGATATAACACCTCTCTTGATAATTCATTCCAGGGGGTTATCAATTTGGGAAACATCCACATAGCTAATATCCTAATGTTGTAGTTTATTTCCTTTTTAACTGGTTATTCACTGGTAGATATCTGAGTCCTACAGCATCTGAAAGTCACTGTTATAAGCCTTCTCTTCTCCAGAATAATCCTAGTTCCTTTCACATTTTCCAACTTCTTAAACAAACCTTATTGCTTGCCTAGAACTTCAACTCCTTCACTTCCTTCTTTTTGGTTAACTACTAAAACCGACACAGGAATCTCCAAGGGATCTCCACTAGTGCAGAGTATAATAAACTTACTAAGCTTTAAACTGTTATTCTCCCCTTTCCTAAGCAGCATTTGCCATGCTACCTTTGACTCCCATACAACTCATCATGAAAACTTCCACCTGGGAAAGGAAAATTATTTTGAAAATCAGAGACTAACCATAAATCAATTCTCTAAGACTTAGGAATACCTACCCTTACACTTCTATATTCTTTCCTACCTTCAAAAAGGCAAACAGGATTTTAAAAGCTTTTTAAGAGAAAAGACACCAGAAATTGGATAGGGCTCTAAACCACTCTAGTAAGAAATTTTAAACCTAAATAGTCTCAAGTCTATTTGCCAAAGAGCCTCATGCATAACTGTTTTGGGGAAACATAATTAAGAGTATGGAAACTAAGTCACAATTTCAATCTAGAATTCCCTTAACATATTTGAGTTCTGTTGGCTTAAGCAAATGCAAACGAGACTTAAGAAGCTGTGTGGCCAAGTCCACATGATGGCATTCAAACAGAAAAGAAAAGGGTTGTTTACCCTTTTAAGAACTCTATCCAGGCTGGGCGTGGTGACTCATGCCTGTAGTCCCAGTATTTTAGGGGGCCGAGGCAGGTGGATCACCTGAGGTCAGGAGTTCGAGACCAGCCTGGCCAACATGGTGAAACTCCATCTCAACTAAAAATACAAAAATTAGCCAGGCATGATGGAGGGTGCCTGTAATCCCAGCTACTCGGGAGGCTGAGGTGGGAGAATCATTTGAACCTAAGAGGCAGAGGTTGCGGTGAGCCGAGATCGTGCCATTGCACTCCAGCCTGGATGACAGAGCGAAAGTCTGCCTAAAAAAAACGAAAACAAACAAACAAAACAACAACAACAAAAAAACCGAAAGTAACTCTATCCAAATAAAAATATCCATTCTGCTACAAAGGAATTATGGGAGATTTTGCAGTAGCCTTTAATGCTGTTATATTATTTTTACTATAAACATAGGTAAAAAACATTCTTTCCATTTAGGCATCTCAGTGTCTTGCACTACCACCTTCATATAAGAAACACATATTGCCACCAAATGATAGAATTAGAAAGAATCTTAAAGGTCAAGTCCTCTTAGCATTGATAATTAAAGGCCCTCTTCTGCCCACTCACTTCAATAGCATTAAAGGATTATTGATGAATGAACCGTGTGACCGCCTCCACCACAACTGGAAGGTTTCAGGTTTAGAAATAGGTTCTCCATGAAAGAGTGCCTGGGAGTACTGCAGGAGTGCCTTATAAAAAGATCTAGCTTCTAAATGATGCTGGCGAAGAAAAAGGAATACACCTTTGAGCACAGTTTTAAAGTAACAGTATGTTAATGCAAGGCAAATTTGTTTTATTTGAAAATTCTCCAAGTTCTTATCTGTTGAGAAGACATTCTTACTATTTCTTGGGGGTTTTTTGGTTTGTTTGCTGGAATTTTTTGGTGAAAACAGAATCTCAATGCTAATCACCCAGAGTATCTTTTAAACATCCATGGTTTCCTTTCTGCACTAGAAGTTGATGTTTGAAAGGGGTAAGGATTGGAACAATTTTGCATCCATGTGGAAGGAAAAACCAGACATCTAAGATGAAGAGGGTAGAGCTTTCCTAATCTCTTCCCTAGATTCTCTCTAGTGGTCTAAAAAGATAATCAATTTCAATTCCCACGTGCCAGTCTTTGGCTGACAATAACATAGTTTGTTTTAGTGACTCTAAGAGTAGCTTATAAAAGGTGCATCTTTAGAGCAATCACAGTTTGCTCTGACAAACAGAATTTTGGTCCACAGCAGTTTTCAGCTCTGTTCTAAGCAAACTCAGCGGCTACCCCTTTTAGCAAAGAAGACTTTGAAACACTCAAGTGCTGCACACAGAAGATACTTCTACGTATCCTGACCCTTCCTCTGAGCATCGGTGAATGAGATTGGTCCCTGTTCAAGCTACTGGATTTACTGCATTGGAGATCATTTATCTTAGAGGTATGGGGCTGGGATTACTTAGGGAATGAAAACCAAAAAGCTCTCTCAATACAATAGATTATTTTCTCCCAAAACTGAATGTTAGTTATTATATAAACCAAGTTACACACCTAGACACATACACACAGTAAAATAAAGAATAGAGAAAAATCCTAGATAATTCAAGTTTAAGAGTCCCCTTACAAACATACAAAACAATTTTCTTCAGGATATCAACATTATTTCAGAAACATGGGATTTTCTTCTACAACTGAAGGATAATTTTCTCAACTGTTCATTTTGCATTTCAAGGCACCTTTTGCCAAAGGGCAAAAGGTGATCCCTAAAAATTCATCTGCAAATTATTTCTGTAGTTTATGTAAAATAATGTGAGATTACATAGCATCATGAAATGGTTAATGCTCAGACTCTTAGAGAAGGTTTTCAAAAAGAAAAACAGCATGAAAGATTACAGGTTACAAGGTTATAAACCTCCTTTTATTCCAAGCAGAACAAATATAATTTTGAAATTACAGAAGAGCAAAGAAAATTATTTTTTTCTGTAGACAATGAGCTTCTAATTAAGGGCTTTTTCTCTTGGGGATTTGTGTGGAGAGAAAAGAATGAGAGGAATGAGGAGCAGTCTTGCTAAAACAGCCTACTCTATAAAATGACCTATACAATTATTTTTACAGTGAGTGTTTCACCAGAGCAGAGACCTATCTCTATCTCAATTTAAAAGTGCTTATTGCAAGGAACTTTGAAATATCCAAATAAGACATCTGGTTTATTTAACCAAGCTAAAGAAAGAATTGCCTGACAAAGTCCCACCAATAAACTTTGTTAGCTCACTGGAAGAATAAACCCATTACAAAAATCATCATAAAAAGTCACCATCCAGGTTATCAGTCTCCCAGCTCCCTGACGTCATTCCCTGCTGTCGCTCACCTCCAGAGCCAGGTGTCCCAGGAAACCCTGGCTCTCTTCAGTCCTTTTCAGTGGCTCTGTGTGCTAAGAAATTAAGAATTTTTATTGTGTGAGCTCCATAACTGACAATGTCGCAAATTTAAATGCATGAAGCATAATGTCAACAAGCCAAATCCTCTTTCTACTTTTTTCTGTCTGACTACTTTCTTCCACATTTATATCCAAAAAAATATATTAGAAATGACTGAATGGTCATGTGTTTCTTTCTGCCACCGAATGAGATGCTATGATAGAGATAAATCCATTTGCAAAAAGATAATAAATAAATGTACTCCAAACGTAAATTTTTGTATATTAGAAGAAAAGCAAAAACAATCCCAAACTGTCTAACATCCTCAAACTTCTAAAGAAAATGAAAAAAAAATTCTTTCAGGAAATTTTATAGGAGCGTTATCTACCCATTGACCAGTTCACTGTAATGTGATTTGACTATCACTTCAAAGGTTAAGCTTGATAGAAAATACAAAATATCTAATGACACATATCGGAAACATGCTATGCCTTTCTGAATCAAGGAAACTTCAAAGGAAAGTTTGAAGTGTCACAAGAATTAACATTTCTTTTTTTATTAATTAAAAACAATAATTTTCTGGCCAGGCAAGATGGATCATGCCTATAATTCCACAACTTTGGGAGGCTAAGGTAGGAGGATCACTTGCAGTCAGGAGTTCAGGACCAGCCTTGGCAACACAGCAAGACCCCATCTCTACAAAACATTAAAAATTCACCGGGTGTGATGGCATACACCTGTAGTCTCAGTTACTCGGGAGGCTGAGACAGGAGGATTACTTGAGCACAGGTGTTTGAGGGTACAGTGAGCTATGATCATGCCACTACTTTCTGGCCTGGGTGACAGAGTAAAAACCTTTAAATAAATAAATAAAACAAAAATAAAAATACAGGTAGCAGAACATTATACAGCCTTTAGACAGGCATGTTTACAAAAATTTCAGTTACATGATAAATGCTTATAATAAACTACCAAAAAGCATTCACAAACGGCAAGCTTATTTCTTATAAAAGACTAAAACAACTTACAATGTTGAGAAAGTACTTAACAAGTGATTTCTTCTTTTCTCTTTTTCTTTTCTTTTTTTTTTTTTCTTTGAGACAGAATCTCACTTTGTCACCCAGGCTGGAGTGCAATGGTGGCATCTCAGCTTACTACAACCTCCATTTCCTGGGTTCAGGCGAATTCTCATGCCTTAGCCACCCAAGTAGCTGGGACCACAGGTGTGCACCACCACACCTGGCTAATTTTTTTGTATTTTTAGTAAAGATGGGGTTTCACCATGTTGGCCAGGCTGGTCTCAAACTTCTGACCTCAAGGGATCCCCCCGTCTCAGCCTCCCAAAGTGCTGGGATTACACGTGTGAGCCACCACTCTCAGCCTCTTCTTTTCTCATATAATTTGAATAAATTATTCCCACAAAGTTCTTTGGGTCCCATGGCCTCCAAAGTTTTAATACTTGTCAGAATTATTCAAAAAATTTTAAAAGGGAAAAAATAATCTTTTGTACTCATAATGAAGACAGTATTCACCATGTCTTGATATTCATTTTTACCTCGATGCCAACCACCTGTGATTTGTTAAAACACTAAAAATTTAAAGGAAACTAAAAATACTTACTAGCTTTTTAAATCATAACAGCTCATAATTTATTGATCAGTATTTTCAGAGACCCAGAAAGCTATATCTGGATACACAGCTGAGTGAAGATGGCTATGGGAACCAGATTATTTGCCATCTCCAGGCATTCAAGTGTCCAAACTTCAATTTTATTAAGACGGTATCATGAATGTTTCAAAACATCAAAGTGAATAAGGCCAAGAATGGGAGCAGACTATCCCCTGTCATGAATACTCCCCATGTGGCTGCTGTGGAATGCCGGCATGCTGGAACTTGCTGCTCACCTCACAGTGTCTCATTCTCTTCAGGATGGCATTGCTGACTTCCCAGCAATCAGGAAGAGGAAAATTCCAAGCCTAGGGTGGCTCTTTTTCTGAGCTAGTTATTGCCCTTAGTTTGATATGACGTGTTCCTCAGTTGAGTGTCACTGTCTTGCCCGATGCCACAGACAACTAATGAATCCCATGCAGCTGCCGTCTTAATTCAATAGAATGTGACAAATTTAATAATGTCTGAGCAAATAGATACGGGCCATAAGGAAGAGTCACAAACACAGTGTAACATCATGCCTGGCCTCAAGGAACTCACACAGTTCCTTGGGTGAGATGGTTTGCTTCCTGATCTAGAGTCACTAGGAAAGCCCAAGCAGGTGCCTCAAGGAACCTGGTCACAGACAAATGACTTCACACATAACACAAATGTTCCTGATTCGTGCCACTACCTTGCCCCTTCCCCAAGAAGATGGAAGGATAAGTTCTTGAAGGCCAGAGGAAGGAGGATACTTTTAGTGGGGCTGCAGTCATTACCCTGAATCCATACACTAGTTCCCAAAAATCAAGCACTCGATTCTCCATCAACAGAGCTGAAATGGGCTCTAATTTTTGGTAACAATGCCAGTGGTAAAATCATGGAAAAAAAATCATTCATGTTCCACGCTCCACTCAACTCTTTTTGTTGTCCTGAAGACATTAGGTCCACTTCTACTACTTACGGCCCTGGGTTTAGGATAGAGACAGAAGATAGACCAGTCACTATTATTTCATACAAGCTCATCTGATGGCATGAGCAAAGCACCCTGAAAGTGCTGGAAGGTGCAACCAACTCTCCTGAGACAGGCCAGAGAAGACTCCATGAAAGAGATGCACTAATTCAAGGTGGGTCTAGAAGAATGAAAAATGCCTCCCCAGCAAGGACTTCCCATCCAGGCAGAGCTAACAGCTGTTTCATGGAGAGCATGCATGCATGCAAGGCAAGTGTATCCAGGTGAGAGGGAATGGAGAGAGGCGAGTGCGAGCCAAAAGGGAAGGGAACAACACTGGGCAGTGTCTACTTTGTGCCACATACTGTGCCAGATCTTCACTTACATGACCTTTCATACTGCCCCCCCACCAACCTCCTAAGATGGTCATGCTGCCCTGCACTAAACTGGGGCTCTGCAAGGTGAAGTAATTTGCGCAAGGTTTCATAGCTCTTAGGTAGTAATGCTCTAATCCTCCTGTGATTGTCAGATTATCCTTGGCAATGGGATTCTTTCTTCCAAACAAAGTCTCAAGTGAATCATAAGTAGCCCAGATCATAAAAGGTTCACTATATATATCTTTAAAACTATCTTTGAAGGAGAGCCACTTCAGGAAGGCAGCCAGATGGCGGTGTGTTCTGGAGTGAACGGAAGAGGAAGCCACAGATCAGAGAAACTGCAGACATGTCGGCTAACCAGACTTTCAAATGTTAACCTTCAGTCAGCAATTTCTCAAATTCTACTAGATAAACTATGGACCTAAAGGGTAAAAACCAAAGAAACCTTTCTGGTTCCTAGACTTGAATTTTAAAATGACACTGTCTTTCCATAAACTTTTAATTTGCACATCTCAACAACAACTAAAAGGTAGCCTCCCATTGTCCGGGTAGAATATCATCCTGTCTGTACAGCATAGCACAAGGCAGCTTTGAGACCGCCCTCAATGTTCTGCGGTTGTCACAGAAACATGGTGGACGTTCTCTGATCGCTGAACTGGGAGGAAAATTATTAGAGTCTCCAGCACTGTAATCCAAGCCTGATACTTGTTCTTCTACAACTTCTCAACTGATGTATGTGTCCAAGGGGAAGTCAACTTCCACAAATATAAACATCCTCTCTCATCAGGAAAACAGCGCCACTTCCCTCACGGGCCATCTTTAGAGATGGTTCACCAAAAGGCGCAGATTTGAAAAAAACAAAACTATATTTTTTTGGTTAGGGGCAGGCAAGAGGATAGATCATCAAATACAGCCAGCAATATCTAGCACTGCTTCTTATGACACATTGCTGATAAAGGTCATCCATAACTGACAGACACTTATGCCAGGACAGATAGGACCACTGATAAGTTCCCCTTCTAAGCATTCAAATAAGAAGAGAAAGGCGCCAAAGGATTGATTGGAGGCTTCTTATTAAACAGGAGACCCTGAATGGCACTGCACTAACTCCCAGATGACTCAAAGTCTAGGAGAGTTTTCACCTTACACTTCTAAGTCATAACTTAAGAGAGCACTATGGGTATATTAAGCATTGTTAGGTGCTTTGATAACTTCATTTTAAAAATTACTTCTGAAACTTAATTTTTATTTTTTTAGAGACAGGGTCTCGCTCTGTTTCCCTGGCTGGAGTGCAATGGCATGACCACAGCTTTCCGCAGCCTCGAATTCCTGGGTTCAAACATTTCTCCTGCCCCGGCCTCCCAAAGTGCTGGGATTACAGGCATGAGCCATCATACCCAGCCTTAATTTGTGAATAGTGTAAAAATTGTAAAAAAATGAAAAGACTATGTTGGTAGATTAGAGAAACATAAAATAAATGTAGTTAATCACCTTAGGACAATGCTCACACAAGGCTGATTTTGAATTTTTTCATATTCATTTCATGTACTACCAGTGACTCTCTACTACGTATTTCACTGTAGGGAAATAAGAACAAGGATGTGATGTTCCCTTAGGGTCCACCATCACATACAGAATGGGCCAAGATAAGCTCCCAAATGGGAAGGCTAAATGAAACCTCCAATAAAAGTTGTCTTTTCTCGTCAATTTTAATGAGCTAAAATGCATTCATAATAAAAGCCAGGGTAGCCCTCAGAGTCTTCTGATAGCTATTCAATCACTTCTTTTCTAAATTTTATGCTTTCCTTATAGTGTCCTGGCAAATAGCTTAAACTTCTATTTGTGGCTTTAAAAACATCTATAACAAAAATAATATATCACCTAGTAGTAAGCCTACAGATGCTTAAAAAAAGTATAACGGCCTACTAAACTGGAAGGCAGCAATGGAGTTGACAGTAAGAATATATTAGTCATCAGCATGATCATGAAATTGACCTTCAGATGCACTATTCTATCATTATTTTATTGTGAAGGTGTG